TTAAGGGGGGAAAATCATCGAATGACTGCTCCCGCCTGGGTGAGGCGGGAGGGAGTGTCAGACTCTTACTGACTAAAACCACCCCGTTCCTTCTCCTGCACGTCGAGTCGGATCCCCGGTTACCCGTTAGGTTCTCCGCGACATTATAGGTAGACTACAATATTATAATTTTTTGCTATAATTATTACGTAATTTTATTCTACCATTTTATTAAAATCTTCAATCCTAAATTACATTGTTCACCTATTTTTACAACATCATCATGATTTGAATTATAACAAAAAAGAAAAAAGAATAATTAATTAATTTTTTTTTTCATTCACAGTAGTATGACCTACATGGAAAAACATTTTATTAATGAAAGGACTACTGGCAACACACTGGCACCTAACCAACATAATTAAATAGAGTGCTAGACTAAATTATTCAAGCAATTGTTAGCTTAGCATTGGTTGAGTGACATCACCGGTAAAATGAGTCAGTTCATAACTCCTACCTACTTTAGTGTATTTATAGCTCAATGATACAGCTTCCTACAGTAAATTGAAATAAGCTAGATCCTTTCTTATTTCATCTATGAAGGCCAAATTGAATTATTTATTTAAGAATTAAGATGGTAGATGGTGTTGCACTGAGATAGATATTATTAGATTGACTATTATTTGATTGTAATTTGTCCTTCTTTTGATTAATGATGACTGAGTCAATAACACAAAGTAGATTGAGCCAAGGAGAGCATGACCATTATGTTAGAAATACAATATTTTTAAGTGATCTATACATTTAAATTAAGTTTATAGTTATTGTAGTAATTTTTGCCACACAACATTATCCCTAGGTTCTTCAAAGCAGTAGGAATAAGTATTGTACACTTAATCTTGCTCAGTTATGGCTCTTATTGATTTCTTCATTATAAACCCAAATTTGAGTGATTTTGAATATGAATTGAATTTTGCCCAGTCTAAATATGGAACATTGATTAGTGATTATATCACAATCAATCAAGGGTTGGGTCAGGTGCATAAATGCAAAATTATACTTACTAAATGCAATAATGACACAAATGATCATCTCCTTCCATGATGAATATAGATCTGAGAGCATCTGCTCAATAGTATCCCAACTGTTCAGCAGGTCATAAAAGTCATTGAATACTTTCTTTGTAAGTTCTTTTGCTGACTTAGGGAAACATCTATTTAGCAGTGGGAATGTCTCATACACTGGGAGTGTTGGACACGGCCCAATGTAGTTGTTAGATACATCACTATTACTAGCCAATGAGTTCAAATTGATATCATAACGGCAAAGGTTAGATCCAGTCTCCTTATAGAAGTTCTGTATATCAGCCATAGACTCCAATTTCTTATTAGGACATTCTTTCACACATATTTTCAGAGACCTTTGAAGCTCTTTTACGTCCATAAAAAATAAATACTTTTTGTCAATTGTACTTATTCCAGACACAGGTGCTGCTGTTAGCTTGTAGTTGCTTTTCACTCCACATGTGTTCCCAAAAGAATCAAATCCATTAATAACTCGTAAAGGATTCCCGTACACAAAAGATATCGCAGCTACGATTATCTGAAAAAGTATACTTTAATAAGCATCGATATTTATTCTACTAGGTAATTTAAATTTGTAGAATATTAATAGAATTTAATATTTAAATGAGGTTTGCCGGGCACTTACCATTAATATCCAGAATAATATATAAATAATTAGCCACAAAACATCGGTGCAACCTTTTCTTGGTGTTTCATTTTGCGGGGATATTTCACTTTGAGTACAACCCATTTCAATGTAAATAAATTATCGCGATTCGTCAACAACTTTTAAAATTATAAGTCATTTCTTTCTTGTGGAGTTCAAACAAACAAACAAGCCAAGCAGCCGACAAGCTTGTCAAATCAAAGCTACGTTCGAGACGAATAAGCTTGCTAGGCTAGGCCTGGAAATATCGGTAACTTTATTGTATACGATTACCGATTCACGTTATCGATATTTCTGTATTTCTAGAACTCTACGACTCCAATTTGCTTATTGATTAATATTTATTGCATTTAAATCTATGTAACTAAATTGATAGATAGCTAATTATATATAATGAAAAAAAAAACTATTTACAAAGCATCAAAAGAATTAACTGTACGGTTGGTGCCAGGTTGGTGAACGGTTGGTGGTTGGGCAACTAACAGCCGTGCAATGTGTTGCGGGTTTGATTCCGGCACGGAACAACTCTTTGCTTTATCCACAAATTATTGTTTCGAGCCTGGGTGTCATATATACGCGAAGTTATATTGTTTGTTTATAAACACATCCACGGAACAGAAGATAATCTTATTTATTATCCTAACTTCACTGAGTTGTGGTACCTATAAAAATTTAATAATAAATATAATTATGTTAAAATAAACGCCATTGCGTAGCAAGCCTTTTGCTTACTATTAGATGATTCGACCGCTCGTATAGCGGTATTATTATTCATATTATTCCATAAAAAAATTGTATGAGACTTTAAGAACCTAAAAATATGAATTTTAAAATTATTTGGAACGATCCTGTAAACACGTTTGATGTATAAAATTTTAACCGATTGCTGTTTAAAATCACTATAGCGTTTTATTTGCACATTCCTATTTGTTCCATATGTAGGTATATTTATATAAAGGTTATTTTTTTTTATTTCTTTTTATATAATAGCATTGTATTAGTTTGTTTTATTGTTTATTATTGTTATTTCTATCGGTTTCTTCGTTATTATTATTATTATTTTTTTATTGTTTGTGTAACACACTATGTGTCTCAGTGTTATTATATC